TTATCTCACAAATCCGTTCCTTTTGAAATTTTCAGACTTTAATTTTTTTTATCAAATCGTTGAATTCGAACAGTAAAACTTATGGACTGAATCTATTTGTAAGGTATATTTTTCTTAAGATCCTAATTTTCAAATTGAGAATTCGGAAGTCCTTAAAAATTTCAATACTGCACGGGACGACAACAATTGATTAGAAATTCTTTTAGAACTGATTAAGATTTTTTTTTAAATTATTAAATCCGTTGAGTTTGATTCTGAATTTGTGTCTAGATTTTAACAATTATTGCATGAAAAATGCTAAAAATTCCAAATTCGTAACATGATTTAACTGTATTTCAATAACAACGTTTTTCCGTAGCCGTGTCATCCTAATGTATCATCATTTCTTCCTCTTTCTCTTCTGTCCCTTTTGAACATCTTGATTTTCCTCAAGTTCGTCTTTCTCCTATCTCTGGCTTCTTCTTGGCCGGCTCCTTCGACTCGGAGAACCGGACCGGGATCTTCGTTGGACGTTGGCAGAGGTTTCTTTTGCCGCTGGTAGACCATCTTGCGGATTTTTCCCTGGTGCCGCTGGAAAATTATTTTAGAGAGCGGCTGCGGCAAGAATTATAGAAAAGTCAACGACATCTAAAGGGGATGGGCAAAATGGCTTAAAAAATGCCCTTGCCAAAAAATATTTTTTTATTTTTTGTTCTTTTTATTGTAATATTTTTTTTTGTGAATTTTGAGCGAGGTACTTTTCTTTATAAATGATAAGTGCATTATCGTCTGCAGTTTTTTATTTGATTCCTCATCCTGGCTTGTTCATCGCCATTTTTCACAATTTACTAAATCCCCTTTTATTTAAACCCCGCAATCTGGTTTTCACCATGCTTTACTGCAAAAGTTGGGCGCATCCGCCAGCTTTTCATAATATGCAAATTTTGATCGTTATTTTGGTGGTGCTCAGACGAAAAATGCACGAGTTGCTCTCGATCCGCTGGAATTGTGGCTCTCTTTCTCTACTTTATATTCCAATTATGTCCCACCGCGGTATGCTGGTGACATAAAGCGCCGCAGATGTTTGAGAGTATAGCCTGGGAAAATAATTGGCTACGAATGGTTTGAGTTGGTTTTGTGATAGCGAGTGCAATTATTCGCAAATCACAAATGAATATTATTCATACTATTTGAAATATCTGCATCTAAAATTTATTTGAGATAAACGCTAATTTTAACTAACTTTTACGTCCAAAATAAAGTTAATCACTTCAATTGAAATTTAATGAATTTAATCCAACTTTAAAATAAATTTTTCTCCATTTATCTTTAAAATGTTGTTTAAAAATATTTTATTTTGTAACTTTAACTGAGCATTAAATTTAATGCAGTTCCTTTAAACCGAACTGAATTTCTGCAAGATCTACGGAGGACAGAAAATCAATCCTAACTTTATTATGGAATTGCATGACCAATAACTTAAAAGTTCAACAGCAACAAAAACTTATATTTAATAATATTTAAAATATTGAAGTAACATAAAATGAACGCAAATTAATTTTGCTCTTAAGCAAATATTTCTTGTTAGCAGTGAAATCCCATTAATACTATTAATGGAGAGTCAGAGTTATTATTTTTTATGCTATAGCTGACTCACGCATATATTGTCATTCTAATAGGCCAATCTGTCTCTGTTTATCATCCGCTTCATATTTAATATCTGGTCCGATGACTAAATTTCCACTACGCCTCTTTTAGGGCCAAACCATCTCTAGCCATTTGCGTGTTTTGAATTTCGTCCACCGCCCTCGTCTGAAATGGAAAATTCGCGCAGCAATAATAAGAGAATTTTTTTTTAGTGCGCACATAAATAATTTAACACGAAATGGTCAAATATTTTTGTGCAATTGGGTGGACATTCACGCCCGTCCGCACGAACTTGCTCGCGTCACGCAATCAGGCAGAAAATTATGCAAGAGAAGAGGTAAATAGAAAGCCGTAATTTGCGTCGGCACGTCAAGTTATTACACGAGCGCGGACGGCCAAGTTTGGTATTTGAAAACAAAGTGCTCGAAAGGAGCGATCAAGCTTTAATCTAGGACGCGCGATACAATAGTAGCGGCCAAGCAGGCTGCGGAGGAAAAAAAAAGCAATCGGAATAAAACAAAATAAATATTATGCGCGACACTTGCACGGGGCAAACACAACGGTTCAGTTATTCACTGTTCCCAGCAGTCGGCGTCCGCTCAAGATAAGAATGGCAAAGTTTGTAAAGCTCACAGAGAAAAAAAAACAAAAAAAGCAACTAGCGGATGATAGTTTTAACCCAGAAAAGCGCTTGAGTCAGCAAACTTTTCAAAAGAATAATTTTTGCACATTTTAGGAGTGGAACAAAATTTTGTCGAAGGTTGCATAATTGTTTGCAGTTTATTTTATTATAGTATTATTTTTTTTTTATTAATTCATTAAACTTCTTGAATATAATTGTGTCTTTTAAAATAAAAGCAATTTGGATGGAACGCAAAATATTTGGTAAATTTTTCTTTTCTTAGGAATTCATTATTAGTAATAAAAAAATTAATATTGCATGATTTTAATTCAACTATCTGTCTCAATAATAACTTATTGTACAAAATACACGCCTCTGTTGACACTTATTGTAAAGTTCACCTGAAGGTTTCAGGCGGTTTCAGGTTTTAATCAAATCATTTCAGATTATTTAACTTGGCATTTTCTAGTAATAATGGGTTACAAAATTAGAAATGTAGAACGTATCATAATTATTAAGTAAACGAAACTAATTCCTTTTGAACAATTTATTGTCACTTTGATTTCTTTTAATTCCCATTTTCTGTATTTGTAACATTTTCCATTTTTTTTTTGCATGGATAAAAATTGGGACTGTTGATGAATCACACTTTTTTATCAGTTTAAGTAAGCCATTCAAAACCACTTCCTTTTGGTTTTTCTCTTCAATTCACAGAATTTCTATATTATATTTTTTATATCGAGGAAAATTATTTTATGCATTCGGTGCAACATGTTTTTTTAGTCATCGACCTTTTATATCATTTGAGATAAGGAAGATCCCTCTCGGTCTGCTAAACCGCACGAATGAAAAAAAAATAACACCAAGCAGCGAAAAGCAAGCTTATCAGTATAGCCTCCCAGGCGATAAATGAATAAAAAAACACGTGAACGACGTGGCAACGCTCGCTGGTTGGCTCGCATTTTATGTGGAATTCGATGTCAGTCTGGTGGTGCTCGTCGAGCTGTGCGCACGGAGCCGCTCTCCGCCGACGATAATTACCATTTCTCCTTTTTTGCTCGCGAAACAGCATTCAAATCGGGTTGATGAACCTGTGAGTTGCCCGCAATTACGTACTGGTCTTTTCCGCGAATTGAGTTTTAAGTGCTCTCGCCTGCAGCAATGAGCACCGGGGTTGTTTCCGCCCCCTACCCAGGGGCACCGCTGCAAAAGTACGCCCCGGTGGAACCACAGGATTCTGCGAAAGAGGTGCCCGATATTTATTTGATTTCTGTTTATTTTGGTTTTGCTTTTGTAATGAATTCTGCTGAAATGAGTTCATTAAGCAAATAAAGTGGAGGTTATGCTGCATGTGTTTATTCTGCCGCTCGCTTTTAATGAAATTGTCCGTGGAGAACTCGCCAGCAGCTGGTTTTCATTTAGCGTGCTGGAGCAAATTTGTCGTCATTTCCATTTCATTCCATTCCGGTGGGAAAAAGTTTCTGGGTCAGCAGATCCCAATTAGGACGAAATGGAATAAATTTTTACAAAGCAAAATGGGGGGAAACGAGTACGTATACAAATCAGCACAGTTCATTACGTTAAATTTGGAAAAACAAATCATTTGAAATTTTTTTTTTTATTTGGTTACAATTCTAAAAATTACATACCACATTATTAAAATCTTTTGAAAATAAAAGTTACTAACATAATAAATTATTTTTTTTTAAGTATTAAATTTAAAGCTTTTAATTATCTTCGTAATTTATTTTAGATATATATATTTTTTTAATTAGAATTAGGTTATTATTTGATTATTTTGTGTGTTACAAGGCAAACACGGCAAACATTTAGTAAAATTTTGATCATAATTATACACAGACCATAAACATAAACTCGAAAGAAAATAAATATTAATAAATTCATATGTCAGCGCAAGGGCATAACAGATTGCAAATTTTTCCGCTAGTAAGTAATTTCAAATGAATGTTTATTGGGTTCAATAATTGATCGTAATTATGCTGGTTGCTATTTACTTTTCATCCCAAATTTATATATTATCTAATATTGAGTTAAAAATTTTTCAAACAAATGTATCGTTCCTAATTAAAACTTTTATCATCACTGTTTTGTTAATATCTTGGTTCATTTCATTCAAGCGTTAAAAAAGTCACTTGCTCAACATCACACCACATCGCCGCAATCCATTGCAGGTCGATAAACCGCGAGTATTCAATCCTGGTGCAATTAAATCCGAGCCCTCGTTAAATATACTTTAATTCATCCGCTTTGTCATGCAAGAGCTCCTGGGAGTGATTAATCCTTTAGCGACCGCAAAATGAACTCTCTCTCTAGTGCCATGATAAATACGAAGCTTCTGATGTGCAATGTTAGAAAAGTATAAACGCGCACACAATGCTCATCGGTAATCCCACACCAGAGTCTCTTTTCTTCTATAAGCGCAGTTGATGTGCAAATGAGAAAAATAATACAAAAGCCGCGGGGATATAAAAAGAGTTGCGTGCACCACACCGCGCATAGAGTGCATTAACAACCGTCACGCGATGCATTGGCGTGAAAATGTGTAAATAAAAATAGTCATGCCATTTTTTACTAATTTCTTTATTTCCACTCTATTAAAAAAGGGGGATTGTTATTTAATAAATAAATATTTGTTGTTTTAAAATAAGCAGTAGATTCTGCTTCTCATCAAATAAATAAGATAAAGCAATCAGGTGTTTGTGATTTTAATGCAAGTGTGTGTTTGTTTCAGACTGGCGGTGTCGGAGGCCCGCGAAGGATGGATCGCCTGAGGAGAAGCCTCAGGGACTCGTTCCGTCGTCGGAAGGACCATGTGCCCGAGAGCTCCAAGCCGCACATGTGGCAGGCTGACGAGGCTGCCGTCAGGGCTGGAACCTGCAGCTTCAACGTCAAGGTGAGGAAATTGCAACAATTTTGAGATGTAATTATGGATTTAAAATAAATGGAAAACAACTGACAAGAAAATTTCCCCTTATCATAAAACCATCAGTGCCAAGAATTTAAAAGTTTTTCATATTTTCTTCTTTTAAAATTAATGTATTATTTGGTTCCAATTAACATTTAAAGGTAGGGAAATAATTCTACACATGTATATTGTTTTTCTCCAACATTCCAACGTAAAAGTTGAAGTAGCGGTATGATAAGATAAGCTAGCCGAGTTCCTTTGACGATTTCCGAAGTACTTCATTATTTCAAAGCTTCCACTTACTTGTTAAAACCACAAAAGTTGGAGATTAATTAATTTATAAAATGAAACATCTAACAAAAATTTTTCTCGTAATTTGAAATTATTACCAGTGAAGACCATTTTTATTTATCATTCTTGCTTTTCAGTACATGGGTTGCGTGGAAGTGTTTGAATCTCGCGGAATGCAGGTCTGCGAAGAAGCGTTAAAAGTGTTGAGGGTAAGGAAGCAAACACGCGCTTAACTAAAACGTGGAGCTCATGCAATTATTTTTGCAGGCGTCTCGTCGACGACCCGTCAAGGCGATTCTCTACGTGTCTGGCGACGGACTGAGGGTGGTTGAAGATGAGACCAAGGTACTGTAGTTTTTTCACCAAATCAATCTGTCTATATTACTTTTATTGATTTCAGGGGCTGATTGTCGACCAGACGATAGAAAAGGTTTCGTTCTGCGCTCCGGACCGGAACCACGAGAAAGGCTTCTCGTACATTTGCAGGGATGGCACGACGAGGAGGTGGATGTGCCATGGATTTTTGGCCATCAAGGAAACTGTAAGTGTAAGCAAGCATTTTTCCATCATCCAGCACATCTCTCAGTGTTTGAAAAAAGGCCAAGAAAGTCTGTAAGTTACAGCGAGCAGCAGTCTTTTCTCCCAAAGAAATCCTGCCTCTAGTAACATTTATACTCACCATGCACTGAGCAAATACAATACCTCTGCACCTCCAAAATTTCTCACTGTAAAGCACTTATCTTCTTATTAGAGCACATAGCGAGCACAATAAATTCAATTCTAGCACATAATACATTTTTCTAAAATTTATCTTGCTAGTTTTCTCTCTCTTTTGGCACGTGCTTGTGGTCTACAAATGAATAAAAAATATTTTGCTCATATTCTGAAATGCATTCAATTTTTAGGGTGAACGTCTGAGCCATGCTGTGGGCTGTGCATTTGCTGCTTGTTTGGAGCGCAAACAGAAGAGGGACAAAGAGTGTGGAGTCACCATGACCTTCGACACTAAAAACTCAACCTTCACCCGGAGTGGTAGCTTCAGACAGGCTTCCATCACGGAAAGGTTGCAAGACCCTCAAGAGTGCAAGCCGGCTGGTAAACATCATCCAGATCACTTCTCAATTTCCTTAACAGGATTTCCAGCAGTAGCTTACTTGGTTTCTTAAACCATCCACACGTGATCTATAAATAAAACAGAAAGCATTTATACTTTCAAGGTTTTGCTTCGGGAAATAGTAGATCTATGAGCTATTTCAGAAAAGATATAATTGTTCACAGATTTTCAATTCGGATAAACAGAAAGCTACTGCTGAGTCTTGAAATATCTTTTGAATCTATTGATAAACTATGCACAGTGAAACTCAAAACACAAAATGTTTTATCTTGTTTAATTTATTTAAATTAATTTAATTTTATGAAATTTTTTAAATATTCATATTTTTCATTTTCTTTAAACCTTTTAAATTGATTATCAAGCATTTGTTTTGATTTTTAAGTATCTTTTATTTATTTAAGTTTGATATTTCCCATAAATTTTCAACATACAAGTCACAATGCTGCACAGAACCAAATATAATAATATGTGAGAAATGTATTGAAGTACTAATGCTGAAACTATTTGTGTTTTGTTTTGTTTCTCCTCTCTGTCTGTCTTTCTTTCTCTCTGTCTTTTGTCTTTCCCTTCGTCCAGAAGTGGACCCCTTTGTTCCTCTCTCTCCACCACCCACATCCAAAGAACCTGATGTTACAGAGCCACCCCCAGTCCGGCCAGTAAGCAACCCATTTGCGATAGAGCGACCGCACGCTACTCCCTCCATGCTTGAGCGCCAGGGCTCCTTCCGTGGCTTCAACAATCTGAGCAACGCATCACCCTTCAAAAGACAGCTCTCCCTCAGGCTAAGCGAGCTGCCGTCCAACCTCGAACGGCAGCGTTCACTCAGTCTGGAGCCCTCGGACAAGAGGGCGCCCCCAAGGCCATCAGGTCAGTTTTGTGTTTATAACATTTCGGCTGACCAAAAATTAACACATAAAAGCAGGGCCTAATCTCAATTAAATATTGAAATTGGTGATTTAAAATCAAATTAATCATTAGGACTCATTGGTTTAAAAAATTATCACACAAAAAGAAATTGAAATTTGGCCAAATCTATAAAAAAAAAAAATGAAATGAAAAAAGTCTAACTGCACCTCTTCAGTGTTCAGGGCTGTTTTTCTTAATTGTGTCTCATTGTCATACCTAAAACATCTGTGAGCATGCAAGAAGTTAAGTGTCCATTATTTCCCTCTCTTGTCTGCACATCTACTAACTCTTTGAGCACTGCTCTCACAGAAAATCGCTTCTCGCAGCTTTGAATTGAGACCATCAGGTCAGCTTTCCAATCTAAAATTTTACCAGCTGCTTTCTCAAAAACATGTCAAAGGGCTTTTCACACTTATTATTGATACACTACATATATACAATTGGTGGTCGGGTTGAGACAAAATTGGAGCGAGATTTTGAGCGTGTGCTGCCTTGCTTAGTTGCCGTTGGTGTGGCCTCCGCGAGTCCGCAACCTCCTCCCAGGACCCAGCGTAACCGGCTGAATTCCCTGCCGAACGCCATCAACAGTGAGTTACACACCTACTTCAACCAAAAACAAACCAATGCACAGTTAATTGCAGCTACTCATTCGTGGGCATGCACTTTAGTTAGACTTACAAGTTTGCCTTGCAACGTCCTTTCATCTCCAGAGCTTTTTAGATTTGGCTTTTTTGCATTATTTTTTATTTAATTTCATGATTTTTGCTACTTTACGTATCCCATGTCCTCTTGCTAAAATTTCAGTATATACTCTTGGTGAGTTTGGAGATGCAGAGGCGGAAAGTGTAATAAACATTAGCAAAAATGAGCTAGAGTAAAAAATCTGATGGAAGCTGCGCTTTTTAAAACTGCACTTCTGCGGAACTTGTAGCCAATGTGTGACTTTTTCCAGACTTAGTCAGACCTCAGGTTTTTCTAGTAAAGAGTTAAAATCACTTAAAGTAGAAATTTTGGTCTGACTAGCAATTTGCCCCCGAAATATTCCATTAATGGTCTAATGTCCTACGCTGGTCTGTACTCAGTGAGTCCGATCCCGGAAGTGTCACCCATGAGCGACAAGTCTGTGTCCATCGACCCTCTCAGCGCCCTGTGCCAGCAAATTTCACAGGGGATGTCCTTGCTCACGTCTGCGGACGACCCCTTCCCCAATCTCAATGAGGTGAGGAATTTGGATTTAAAATTAAATTGTGAGTTAATAACATACTCTTGAATTGCAGTCTTCAACAACTGGCCAGATATCAACTAGCCTAGCGACCCAACCTCCATTGCACACGCAAATTCTTGCAATGAACCAGTCAGGTACATACTAATACTAAATAGGTGATATTGATAAATTGAAGAGTGAATATATATTTTTGATAAAAAAATAAATAAAAGAATTAAATATAAGATAAGCAAGAGATCATTTTGACGTGCAAGTTCAAGTATTACATAAATTTTTTAGCCTTAGTGATAATGATGACTATTTTAAGTCTTTCAATGATTAATGAAAGGTTTTGTTTTAGCTCCTTTATAATTTTTAGTATTTAATTCAGGTAATTGAACCAAAAGTAAATTATTTTGAGACAAAAATAAAACAAATCATAATTTTACTATTTTCTTCTTACAAAAGCTTGGTTTTCTACTATCTGAAGATTTAGAATTTTGTCCATAATAAATGGAAAAATTGTAATGGTTAAAGTACTAAATTTCAAATTCTCAATATACTGATAAAATTTTCTTAATCATAATCTGATAGATTTTTTTATTTATTCTCAGATCCCACAAAGCCATACATTGACCCCATCAAGTTGTACAACCCATGGATGAACGACACCCCGAAATCAGCGCCCAAGACTTCAACCACCTCCAACACGGTGGCCATCAACAACCTCAACAACAACGCCCCTCACAGCACGACGACCACAGCCACCCTCTCCTGGGGCTCCGTGTCCGTCTCTTCGACAACCATTCCGGTCACTTCTTCGGAGGCCATCGACATTCCTCAGCAGCCGGACGTGGTCCTGGAGGCGACTGCTGCCACCACCACGGCCATGCTCGAAGTGGCCGGACCAACTTTGACAGGTTCCCCATTGCCCAAGGCGGACCAGTGGCTCACCAGTCTGACGGCCACTCCTCCAAAGCGGCCACCCCCTCTGGCACACTTACGGGCTCAGTCCTTGGGCACGGCTGAGACGGCCATGATGGGCCCCCGGTCTGGCTGGAACAGGAACGACCCTTTTGACGCCGAGTGGGTGCCCAGTGAGGCCCAGCGCGCCCAACAAACATCGTCCACCAACCCCTTTGCCCAAACTGGCGCTGTCAAGGCATTTGAGGTCCACATGTAAAGATTTCCATGCACAAATGCTGTTTAATTGAATTCGTAAGGAGAGTGGCCGTGAAGATTTATTCTAATTTATCAGTTGTTAACTCGTTTGTTGTTGTTGATGCCAGGGAGTAGAGAGTTTCTTTTTTACTCTAATGATTGGAACAAAATATAAGTCTTGTCTGAAGTCTGATGTTTATCTTATTTATCTAAATTGTTTTTGTAATTTTGAAGTTGCATCTTCTTTTAATCTTTTATTTTCAAAAACTTTATCTTAAGCATGTGTCTGTCCAGTTTTCAAGATACCTGATAATTTTTCTTACATTAATGGAGAACTACCTTTGAACTATTATTCATTCCACCTTGTATTTGATGTTAAAATAAGTGATGGTCTTCCGTTCTCAAGTATTTGAAATTTAAAGGTTAATTCTTGCTTGTCTTGCTTTCCTATCGCAATTTCACTCCCTGGTTTTAAAACTGTTGATGTGTACATAAGAGGATAAAATGGGCTTTAATTACTGAACCAGGACGAGGCTCGTTACAGACCTCCGTCCAGCAGGATTGTAAATTTTGTTGATCAAGAGAAAAGTACTTAATTTTAATGTAATGATGCTGAGGGTCATTAACCATGCACTGTCTGTATAAAATATTCCACTCTGTGTAGCCAAGAAATTGAATTGAATGTAGCTGAATAACAAGAGATAACTGTCTTCAATGTTACAAGAACACACAAACTAATAGACGACCCTATAAAAGTTAATTCCATTTAAGTTACATATCGTTGAAACCTTCAGGCAAATGACCTTTTTGAATTGCAATTTTTTCCAAACAAATTCTCGGATCTTTAAAACTGCGGTGGTAGGGATCAAATAAACTCTGTCAAAGCTTTTACTGCTTCTTACAACTCATGATTTAATTATTTGCTACCAGTGCTGCTTTATAATTTTTGGATAATTGTGTTCTCGAGACTTATATTCAATCGAATCTTCACACCATTGCTGCACAATTGTTAAAACTTCCCTATTCAGCACTCCATGCACCGCTACATCACTGTAATCGATAATAGATGTTCAGAAAAGAACTGGCTGATATTTGTACTGCACTCACTCGCTGAATGGATACTTCCGACAAAATTCAAGCTGAACAGCCTACCTTTTAGAAGCTGCAAATTTCGCTGATTTCTCTTTAGGTGCATTTTTGGCTTTATTTTAAAATATAATAAAAATGCTGTACTTATTATCACAGAAAATTTTCATTTTACAAAAAAATTAATTCAGCGCATTGAAAGGTGTTCATGTGCAAGTAAAGAGAAATCAGCCCTTTTGCCGGTTACGAAAGAGATAACCTAGTTAAAAATAAATACACCTATATATTCATGTAACTGATGTTGTTATATTCACTAGGAAAAGACTATAATCACATGAAGAACAGATTAAAACATGGAGCAAAAAGTAATATTATAATAAAAAGCAGAAATAAAATAGTGCCTGGATAAAAATATCATCAACTGGTGGATTGAGTGGAATATTATAATAAGCGTATAGGAGTTATAGTTTTGACCAACAACAACTGCTAGCTGTATGTTTTTCTGATTTAAATGAGGCCTGTACTGTACTTAAAAATAGCGGATGTGGTAAAAATCAGCCTTGCAAACAATTTCCGCGCTGGGAAAACTGAGATTCGATACTCTTAGCCCTGTATTTCCTAAGCTGGAAAATGAGGAAGACTGACTTTGAACACACTCTGGAGGTGATTTTCTTTAGACACAGCTTTTGGAAATGTTCTTTCTCTCACACTGACATATCAATAAGAATCTCCCGACACACAAATTGGCACCTCCTTGATTTCTTGGACAGAACAAAATTCCTTTGTTGCGTTCATTTGCATACAAAAAAGAAGTGGTATTAATTTTTTTTAAGAGACGTGCAATATTTCCTGACATTTTTGTACATAGATTTACATTTCATATACTTATGTTTGTATTATTTCACAAGATGCAGGCTATAAAATTTTATTTGTAGACAAAAACTTAATGTAATAGCCCTTCTCAGGGCTTCGATATTCATCAAAATGTGCTCCTGTCATTAGTGTTTTAATTGAGATCAAGGTGCAAGAATGTTGGAGAAAATAAAATATTTAATTAAGCATTAAAAGAAGAAATTTATGTTGTCTTATTTCTCTATTTCCTACAATTTTTTTCTTAACAATTTTTAAAGGAAGTATCAGTTGATTGTTCATAAGTCCTTGATTTTATTTCCTTTCTTTATAAATAAGAAACATTAATCACAGGCAATTCAATTTGAAAATCGCTCTCTAAAAATATGTGGGGGCGCTGATTGTGAGTATTATGGCCGTCTAAAGTCTCAACAGACTCTAATTACACATTTTGCAGAGAGTACCCGGCGCGCGATGAAGTTTTTATTGTTCGCCGTCAACACTTACCACCACACGAGAGAGTGCAGAAAAAGATTCGCGGCAAGTGGTGAACGAAAAATGTTTATATCCGAGTGCGAATTCGTCCATGCATCTCCAACAGGGCAATTCCCTTGATTGCTCTGCCAATTGTCTGCTGCTTTTCCTGCGTCCGCCTGCGCTGACGCTTGTGATGTAGTATGAAGTGGCAGCACATTTTTGTCGCATCTCTCCGAGGAGCTTTCCGATCGCGCGGCGGGATGAGTGAGAGGGGGTTGCTTACAAAACGCTTTTAGTTAATTGTCAGAACGTCATGATTACATATTCATCTTTCTCCTTCCGTTTATTACGACAATTAAATCTGCTAAAATAACTTAATTGCAGTAAATTGCATACCATGCGGGAAAATGAAGTGTAAAAAAGTTGCTGCAATATTGTCAACTAATGAATATTTAATTTTACTATTGTTTATAAAAGCAAGAAAAAATATTTAACAAATTAAACAAATCTTCATTTTATTTTGATTTTTTAGCAATATTAGTTAAAACAGACACGACAGTAGACAATAACAGATGCTGTTAATAATCATTTTATGATTTTGTCATACCTTCAGAACTGAATGTAATAAATTAATTAATATATGTTTCATTAAAATTTTACATAAAAGAAAGTGAAAAAGATAGCTTGATATTAAAATTTTAATATTAAATTCGTAATAATGTTTTAAATTATAAATTTAATAAAATAAATAAAAAAATAAAAATGTAATTGGCATGATTTAAGGGGCAAAATTATAATTAATATTGATTTTTTTATTTTTATTATTTTTTTTGGCTTATAGCAACATATTAAACAAATTTATTTTTCTGTTTTCAATTTCAAAATTTGCAGTTCATTGGGAAAACCTATGACCTATGACTTTGTGCTAAAAAGTGATGAAAGGAATAACATCATTTTCTGCTCCCAAAAACTGCTTCACAAAACATAATCCGTCAAATAAATTCTCCCTACTGTTTTTCCTTTGGAGAGAAAAAAACCACGCAGAAAAACGACTACTTCCTTTCCCACAACTATTGTAACAAATGTAATGAATAAAACTACGAGGAAAATAAGACGAATTTATTTTTCTGGCCCATTTCCTTTTTCTGGGAGCAAAAACGAAAGGGTCTGCGAAATTATCGAATCACTTACGAGCGTTGGCAAAAAGTGGTCGAAAACCACCCTCGATGTTGTGCAAGAACAGATTTGGCTCTCGTCCAAATCTGCGTCTCGTCTGGTCTTGCTCGCGATTATTTCTTTCTTTCGTCGCTGACTTTTTACTCGCACCCTCGTTACACAGCTTAATGCCAAACGAACACACCACCGCGTGTTGGTATTTTAACAACTTGTTTCTCTTTCTCGTCTCGACAACTTTCTTTTCGCCGCGCTCTGATTTATTTTCTCTCAGCGAATTTCAATTCGCACACTGCGGCTGATTGACAAGCGCTCAAGGTTTTGCCGCGGCAGAAAAATAAATATGAGAGGCGAAAATTTCGCAGCAGGTTTTTGCATTGATTTTCTCAAATAGTCTCATAATAAATAAAATTCTGTTTCAAGATGGTTTTGTTTATTGTTCTTCACATCGACAGCCTCCAAAATTTATTTATTTATTTATTTTTTAAAATGAAAAAACATTCAATAATTATGGTAAATTTACTTTTCTCTTCCATAGCAAAATTTATGAAAAAAAAGAATGGCACAGCAAATTCTTATCTTATTTAAGAAGTAAAAATTGAGAAAATCCTCTCATATACTTTTTTTAATTAATAAATTTTTATTTACTTTGTTATAGTCTGTAATCTTCTTTTTTTCAAAATCTTTTTTGCAATTGAATATTTAACATAAAAATCATCAGCAATCCCTTTAACTAAACTCATTAGAGGGTGAGAAGACTCGTGTTTAGGAAACCCCTTTCGTTTTTACACGGCTTACTGGCTCGTCACTCCTAATTTCGGCTGCGAGTAATTGGATAGGGTGACTTCTCTAGCTATTTGGCTTGACTGTTGGCTGCAAACCCCTTCTTGTGTCCCTACAAGTTCTGTTGTGGCGGCTCTCGTCTCCTTAATAGCTAATTGCGAAACACAATACTTTTGCAGTGAACGCAGTACCCTCTGTGAATCATCTGAATGGGCCGACAGGAAGTAAAATAAATATACAATGCAACGTGGTGCGTTCAATACGTGGTGCACTGTACAAGTTTCTTTCAAAAACAAACAATAGCAGTCGAGAGACGACAAGACTTAATTAACAATTCTTGATGGTAAAATATTTCCAGATTGATTTTACATAGTTTTTGAAAACTTAACTCCATTAGATTTTAATAGAAGCACTACCGTGATAAATAATGCAAATCATACTTAATTTTTGTATTCAAAATTTCAGTTTAAATTTAATTTATCTACGGAGCTCTGAGATTTTTAATAATAATTAATAACATAAAATACTGTCATAGGGAAAGTGATTTATTTAGGTTACAATCATATAATAATAATTCAGAGTTAGGGGTTTCTTCTATAAAACAAATTAAATTTTCATATATTTCTTTGAAGAAAAAAAATCAGATATTTATTATCTGAAATTATAATATGCATAAAAAACGCTAATATCACCATGAGTTTTTTTTTAAGAAATCTAATTAATTTTTACAAAATGAATTCAATAGTTAATTTTTTGTCAACTTCTTTATATTTTCTTCGCTAAAATTTTTATGATTATAAATTACGGTTAAAGCTTTTATTAAAATCTCAGACGAGAAAATTAATTCGTGCGACAGCAATTAGCATGCGCGCGAGTGTGAGGGTGGTTGCGCTGGGGGCAAGGGAGGCAACAAAGTAACGCGGATTGCCTGCACTGTAGGCGAAGAAAAAAAGGTGTATGTATCACGTATGGACCCCGCGCGGCCGCGGGTCTCGCGCGTTTTGCGTCCGCCAGCACAAAAATGCACGTGTTCTTCTCTTCTGGCGATGGCGAAAAGCAGCGTTCTTGTCACACGGAGTGAACGAAGGAAGGAAGGGTTGCTTAAGTGGCAAATACTACTCTTTTCACTCGCTTTTCCACCCCGGTGCGAGCGAAAGGGTGGCTCGAGAGGGTGCAGCCTGGCGGGCGCGGGGAAGCCAAATGAGCCGGCAGCTGAAAAATTCTCATTTTCAGCCGAACACACGGAATTCGCAGCGCATACAATAAGTAATTCCGCGTGCTCGCATCACGCATTCATTTGCATATGCGAAAAGCCAGCACGAGTAATTAAAATTAATTTATTGCGACAGACGTAGTACAAACAAATCCGTTTGTGTTTACTTTGCTTGCGTGGCTTTTTCTCTTTCTTTGATCATCTCCCAAGCATGCACACAAGAGAGGGGTGATTAATTATTTGGCGCGCAAATTTGGAGAGAGCTTCATTAAATCTTTGATTAATTAAAAGTTTCGCCGTTCTAACGAAAGTGAGATTAAGTAAGCAAGTACGCGTTGAATCAAGTGTCTTTGCGCAATTACTTCATTTCTGACAACATAAGATGAGAGTCTGACGAAATTTGCTCAATTTGAATTTCATTAATGTTGTTCCGAAAGTAATGGGAAAATTACAACAGCACCCATAATTTCAGAAATTGAAGGGAGATTCTCTTCCGCTCAAATATTTATCCAGTTTTCAAATTATATTTTATTAATAATCTCTTATTGCTCCGAAGGGAAATTTAACTTTAAATGAGTTCTTTAACAATTGAAACAAAAGGTATAATAATCAATAGTTGCAGTTTATTGACTTATTACCAGGCATTCACTGCTAAATATTCTTTGTACCAATTCAGTGTTAATTAATTTTAAAAATAAATGTAATAGCAAAATTTGGCCTTTTTGGTTTGTATTCAATAATTGAATAACATGATATTGTTCAAAAAGAAAACGGAAAAATGAAATTTTTGGACAAAACGGTACCGCCACTATTAACTATAGCACGAATCTCTGAGATCAAAATTTAACTGCTTTAACAAAATTTAAAGAAAATGTCTGGTAAAATTTGCGCAGTTCTCCCATCATAATCCCTTAGGGGTACAGTACATTTAAATATCCAAGAAATAATTTAATAGCGACAGCCATCCTTATTATATATAAAGAGGATTGAAAATATTCTGTTGGAAATTTGACGAGACTTTCGGCAGAGTGCG